TCGCCCGGTGCCTGCGGAGTTGGGACGTCGAGTCGCGCCAGAGGTGGGCATGAAGGACCCTTCTCCAGCCCTCCTAGCCCTGCTTCTGAGACCCCTCATCGGGTTTGTCAGCCACCCCAGCTGGAGAGCCCCCTCCTGCCAGAAGTTTGCAGCTGTTCAGCATCTGGGCAGGAGTTTTCCAGTCCTCTCTCCACCTACGGCAGGCTGAACTGGGTTGGGAGTGGGGTCTGTCTGGGGGAGCGTTGGGGAGTTGGCAGGGAGGACCAAGCAGACTAAGGTGCACTGCTCTCTCACCAGTGTCAGCTCTCTTCACGGTGACAGGGAGAAGAGCCGTTGCCCTGCTCTGGGGATTCGTGCCGACCTCTCCCAGGGCCCCCCAGAAAAGGAGGGCTCCTGGGTAGGGGCATACGGTGTGGGGGGGGTCACCATCTGGGTTACCCTGGGCCTGCCCTTCTGCTTCCCTCGCCTCCTGCATTGTTGCTGGGCTGGGGGAGGTCACGGAGGGCAGATCCTGTGCCCTCCTGTCCAGCCCCCCCCCATTTGAGTTCTTGAGAGGCCTCGTGTCTTGAGTGGGGGATGGCTCTTCCTCCCCTCCCCCAGCCCCTCAGTGGGTCTGCGCGGGCAGCCGTTCAGGGGCCACCCTGGGCTGTGGGAAGTTTGCTGTCTGGGCAGGTGACCTTGGGCTGCTCTGGCCTGGAGATAGGAGGGGAGCCTGGGCCGACCTGAGATTGGGTGAACTGGAATTAGGGAGCTGTCCCCTCCCAGTCCCCTTCCTCCGCCGGCAGGGAGCTCTTAGTAGCTGAGGAGAGCGTTGAAAAGGAACATCATGTCTGTTCACAGATGTCCGCTAGCTTGTGGCCGCGGGGTCACACTGGCTCCCGGACTTGCCTAGCTGTCCCGGCTCCCACGGCCTGCCTGGGAATGAATTTCCTTCCTGTGGCTTCCCACTGTATTGGCAGGAGGTGGGGGTGGGGTGGGATCGCACAGTGTCTGGGGACCCGTTCCTGTGGGGTAACTGGGGGACCTGCAGTTTACACACAACTCTTCCCCAGGACTGGCATTGGGTCCTTGAGTCTGTTCTAACTCCCCTGTCTCCACTACACCTTTCTTTGTGTGTTTTAGTGTGTGTGTGTGTGTGTGTGTGTGTGTGCATGCATGTGCACATTTGTAAGAAGTTTCTCTGGGTTAGGGAGGAATTTTCACTGACACTACTGTCGTGAGTGATCAGAGAGGTTGAGCTTTTTCCTGACATCACACAGCAAGTCTGTCAGAGCATCACTCCTTCCGCTCTTTGGGGCCTACTGCATAGAACAGAGGAACTCTAGGG